CCCCCCCCCCATCCTCTCGCACACGGTTTTATCATAACCTGTTGGAACAGGCGATTGGTTGAGGCCGACGAGTTCAACTTGACGTCCACGACCGAGCACGTGCTTCCGGCGTTTAAGGAGCTATTTGTTGCCACTTCTTTCTTAGGTGCCGTTCGCGAGGGCAACCCTGCCGCAGCGGAGTGAGTGACTTCAACCTCTGGTGTCCGAACTTACAAATGCAACATGTTCGTTTTATGTAGTCTATATTGCTGAAACAATGTGTTCTTTGATTGTCAGTTTTCTTTGTGTACCAGGGCCGCACGGACGCGGCTCTTGCGCGCCCAGTCCACTCTGTGTGCTGTCCAACCTGTAAAGCTCAAGATGGAGAGAAGCGAAAAATTGTGCACCCGATGCATGTGCCTTGTTGGAATGAACTGTCGAAATCGAGTATGTTTGGGATCTGGAAATACATGCGACATATTTGATGCCCGGCTACATCCGCTAGTACAAGCGAGGCGCACCCTTAGTTGAGGAACCCGTGTGCACGCGGACGCACATCACGCCAAGCAGCTACCAGCGCGGCGCCAGCATGGGTTGTACCTGATTACTCGAAACTCGACTGTCTCTTCGTGTTTATGACACGAAAGAATGGGAGGTAACTATCATTTTCGGGTGGGCAGGCTCTCCATGATTTGGTCCAAAATTTTGAATCCATCCGATCACATCGTACTTTGAAGTCCGTAAACTGGTGACACACATCGGAGTTTTTTTTTTTCTTTTGCTGCCCCCGTTTCTTGCTCGTTGGCATTCTCGTTGGTAACTGCCACACCCGAGCAAGGCTATTGACCCCGTACTGTTCGGGAGAGGACCCAAGGCAAGACATCGAGGAGTGCGTGAGGATTCCTACGTTGGTCAGCATGGCAAACGTGTACACTAACAAGAAGGGGGCCGTGTGGAACGAGAATGTGAGGGAGAGCACCGTTGGGTCATTTTGCTAGGTGGAGGGAATGAGTGTGCTTACTCCCTCTTGCTTCGATTGATTTTAGCCGGGCGCCCCGGTGGTCAAGCGGCTAGGTTTTCATACCGACGGTGTGTGTTGTCACGAGTCCTACAACAGGTACAGGCATCGATACACCACATATCCGACACACACGTGCCTGGTGTTGATTTGCAGCAATCCACAGTGGACTGCGCATTGTCCAGGGTAATTGTTTATTTTGCAGACACCCGAATGAAAGCAATTGTTTGTTGGTTTCAAAAAACGTTGTTTGGGGGGGGAAGCCGTCTCCCTTTTTTGTTCTTTTTTTTTTTCACTCTAGAGTGGTCTGAAGCCCTGAGGATGAGGCGGGGTGATCCGGAAGCAACAACGACAACCTCACCAAGAGTGACGTGCTTGCAACATGAACATTGAGCAGCCGTTTGTTCAACGATACACCGGTTGCTGTTTGGCACCAATTCCCACCAATGTTCAATATTTTCCTGACCGCGAAACATCCGTTCTTGCCTCGTCCTGTTGGGGGGGCGGGGGTGATGGTTTTTTAACTTTCCCGATCCACCCTATGCAGGATTATATTATACCGGTGAATTGTCAGGGACCAGTACGCCGTGAGCTCGATTTCGTTCGACGAATATCCGCGCATGGTTTGCCAAGAAGCCTCCTAAACTACGACAAGGTATTGCAAAAAAATAACAATAAGAGGGTCATAGTGCATGGTTATGTCGCTCGGCCGTGGCGGGAAGGATACTATCATGGAGGGGAGCGTGTTGATTTTTTGTTCTTGGCGAAGGCGTACGACTTTGCCCACCAAGCTTGATGCTTCCGTCGAGCACAATGGTGGACACCACGAGTTAGTACGGTGGCGGCACGCACGATGGCATCGTTGTAATGTGCAGGGCGGACGTTGAAATCGCTTGTTTTGGTAAGATATGTTTCCGGTTTTTAGCGACCATTGATTTGTTTTTGTTTGCGCCATACGGTCCAAAGGCGGAAGAAACAAATTTCATGCTGAAACTCACTTTACTCTGCGCCCTGCCTGCGGTCGTCGATAGCTGCACATGACATGGAGGAAATCTGCCTCTTAACTTAACCATTCTTGAGTAGTTTCGGGTGACACCAAGCCAGAGTTGCAAGGTAAAGCCTATAGGCGGCCCACCGCTTCCTTCTGCGTTAGGCTTACCCCCGATAACACGACAGTATCGACACGAGAATTGGCCACATATCAAGGTGCAAATTGAATGGACAGGGTTTGAAGCCGAACGCCGTACATGCTTTGGGCCGATCACTCAATTTTCAGCTGGTCACCGCATCGGTCATGCGTCTCCCTCCTCTGTGATTTTCGAGCTTCCTGGTCGTCTTCACACCCACGAATCTATCAGCGTCTCCCTTCGGCTTGCCGCTGTCCGACCATCAATCGCCTGTCGCTGCCTTAGGTGTTCGTGATGACCCAGGAGTGGACCCCAAACTACTACCACTTTACGGTGGAACATCTTCCGCGGATCACATTGGCGCTTGATATCCTTCTCGAAAACCCTGAAATCGCGGTGAGTGCTGCGGCATGCTTCCCCGTTTATTTTGTTTCAGGCCGCTGGAAACACGGCAAACTATCAGTGGCCGTTGCTAGAAAGCGGGCATTGCCGGGGATCGCAAGGAATCATGTAGCTCTAGGCACCTGTTTTTCTCTTTTTTCTGTTTTTTCTCTTTTTCTCTCTTTTTACTCTCTTGTCTGTGTCAGTTGGCCTAGTCTCTTCTTACATTGTGAAGTACCAAGATTGAACCAAGGGGGTGTACGTCTTTCTCTCTGACCCGTGATGCCGACTGCTAGTCTCAGTTGTTACCTCGCATTGCGCGCAGAGGGAGCGGAGGACTCCAGAATATCTGTCGTTGATTTATATTGACTTGCGGACCCTTCGGGCCAGTTTATTTGAGTTTACCTTTTGAGGGTAAGTAAGCCTGTGACCACGGGAATCGAACGCGTCAAATATCGGATCAGTACGGACACATGAAGGTACTGGGAGAGAGATCGGAACGGTTTTTAATGTGAAGACAACAACAACAACAACAACAACAACAAGGCACCCCGGGTCGTGTGCGATTCCCAGTATCCTGGTGCATGTGGCGTGACGCGGAATGCAGGATCCCAAGTTGGAGAGCAGGAGGACGGATCATGTGGCCGTGTCTTGGTCTTAGTTTCTTTGTCATTACCCGATCTGATTAGGTTATCGCGAACGACGCCGGTGTAGCACGTGCGTCTCACTGCCATAGGCGGAGGGACGTAGACTTCTTTTCTGGCAACGAGCGACTCCAGTTCCGCAACAATCGCAAGGCTGATCAGCTAGAGTTGCGTTTTCGAGGTAACAAGGGCGATCAGCATGAGAGAGGGAACATTCGTGTGCGGAGTCGGGGGTAAGAGCGAGTGGCGGGGCAGTCGCTCTTGTTCTGGATCTGTTATCGTGCCATGCGAAGTTGCCCGACTCCACACAACTATCGTCTTTCCGCGAAAAGGAAGGAGCGGTACGAGTGAAGTACAGTAGAGCGTTTACTGCGCTATGAGACGTCGTCGCCGAGTCCGGCCGAGACCCCCCCAACACTACTGTATGCATCACATTCGCTACGTATCGCGGGCGCTACGGCTTTGGCGTCCGGCGGGGACATTTCTGAGCGGGTAATTCAAAGAGAAGGAAAATGGTCTTCGGATGTATACGAGCAGTACGCTCAGAACAATGCGGAGGATTCGAGAAGGGTGTTGCGAAAGCTGACGAATGGGAGTAGGTAAGAAGGATGACACCCGGGGGAAGGCACGATGTGGGGAAGGAGGGGCTGACTGCGCGTAGGCAGTAGTATGGCTGACTGCACGTGGGCAGTATTCTGTCTGGCGTAGACCTCGCCTTGAGTGTAGTTAATGGTAGAGTACCATCTGGGGACTTGGTCACTCCAGACTCCAACGTGCAATTGCAGTAGCCGGTTTCCCCCGGCTGGATATAGCAGATTTGCGAGCAGAGGGAGAGAGCGGGAGCGAGAGCGAGAGCTAGAGAGAGAGAGGATAGAGACAATTTTGAGGGGGAAGCAGGCGCGATGCTCGCGTATGCTTCAGCGCCGGTTCGCACCCCTTCTCTCTGTCGATCCTTGGTGACATAGAAACCGATAATGACAAAGCAACAAACAGCACATGGATACTCGTAACGTCAGTTGCACGCTTGTCTTGGCTGGTCGTCAGCCGAGAAAACTGCTCGAAGCGCCATCAATCTGTTTTTCAGCAGCTTGGACTTGTCCAGAGCAGCTCTTGACGGCTTGACTGAAAAAACCGACAAAAACCAGCGTCGACAGATACTTCTGCGCACGTTTGCCACAAGTTACAACACATACACACGTTGCCCACGAGTACCCAACGCGAAGAGTCATGCGCGAGTATCTTCCCTGAAAGCAGCTCGACGAGCAATCTGGGATATAGGACTCCATTCTGGCTATTTCGCGGTTGGTACGGTGCTGTTCCTGGCTCTTCCGTGCCTGTATTCCTACGCACATTCCTTGGTCGTTGGCGATCTCGCCCTTCTTGAACTACGTTGCTGCCCCTATTTTTTGCTCTGTTCTCGTCAGGCATGACGTATGTGTCTTCATTTTCTCTTCGATTAGGCGCACTTTTTGGGGAGACGCGTACAACGCAAAGCGTTGGTTCATGGCATCAAGTAACATACGGATGACCTTGTCCTCTCCTCGTGCTGTTCTTGCATGCCCGAACAAGACCTCGCTCGATAGGATGCTGAACAACGAAACCTTGTTTCGGATATAGCACCAATGAAGACATTATTCGACGTGATGCTAGTGACAACGTGCTCCGCCTGTGTTCGAACAACTGCATGCAGATCTCAATGCATTACTACCAGCGCGACCCACTCCATCAGGACATTTCGGCAGTGCAGGAAGTTCAAATGGAGATGCTTGAGATTCTGGGAATCAACAGAAAGCGCGTCGTCTTCGTCAATAGAGAGGTGGGGAAATACGTACATGCTGTCGGTGATGGGTCTTAGTCGCTGTCGTTGTTTACTGCATAGCATATTCGTGCGTTCACTAGACTGTCTATATGGACAGAACTCCCAACCAACAAGAGAGATGTTGTGGTACAAAACACGTCGGGTTAGGAATAGAAGGTTTGACATGCCATCAAACAGTTTCAAGCATCAATGGCTTAGACCGGATGTACTACTTCAGGCATTTGCCAAAATTACAATCGCGAGCTGGGCAAACACGAGCATCGCGTAGTGACCGTCGTGCCCAAGGTTCGGGGGAAAACGCGGAAAATAGGTCGGGACTCCGATATATGATCGCTCCATTGAGCCACGTGTTCTTCAATACTGCCACAGTTGCCGATAAACCATCGTGACCGTCTCAGGAATTAAACGAGAGTCAGTTTACTCTTCTCAAGACTCGTAGCTATTGGGCAGAAGCAACGGTGAAGTATCTGCCTTCGTCCGGCTGTTTAGGTTTGATTTTACGGGTGAACTGTATGCAGCAACCCTAGATATAACAATTGGTACCACCGGGACTACAAGTAGGGAGGTACCACAGTAGAAGTCGCTTGTTTCAGCTCGTATGTATGCAGGTGCCTTGAATGTTGAATTCGTAGCCTGTACCCTTGCGCACAGATTCCGCCACTCCACCCTCCCTGGCGTGGGGAGGTTCAAGCGAATTGGGCTGTGTGTTGTGGTCCCGGTGAGACTTGCGCCTTTTCGTATCTTCAGCCGTTAGCGCAGGTAGGTTGAGTTCGGTGCCCGAATATCAACGAAGCGTGCACACCTCTCGCGTGCGCTGACACTGAATTGTTTCCATCTGTCCGCCGGTCAGCTCGAATGAGTGACTCTTGCTCATTCACAATCAGCGACTCGTTTTCTCTACTCCATACCCGCTCGCTGCAACGCTAAATCTGCTTTACCTCTCGGTCTCGTTTCCTTCCCATCCCAGATGCATGCAGAACTAGCAATCGTACCGACTAGTACTAACTGCGGCGACCCCGACCTGCAGATGGTCAACATGCTCAGGAACAGATTCTTGCAGGTGGGTGGCGACCAATTAATCGATTCAGTGGGGGCGGTTGGGAGCACGGGATTCTTGGTGATGTTCGTCGTGTTTTTGGCAAGAGTTAGAGTTGCCCTTGCTGTTTCTTTTCCAAATATTTCATGTTTAATAGTATTTTCTTTCGCGAAGACATCGATGCGTGTTGGAGTCGTCCTGGACGGGATGGGCTGGTATTTTCTCCTCACAATGAAGCAGAACTTGTCGACGTTATCCGCGACTGCCGCACTGTCTTTGCAGGGCCTTTTCCCGACCACGAATGGCCTTCCTCCTGCGCCACCCCGCCCGGTGATTGTGCTCGTTGTGCGCAACAAACTTCGGGGCCTGATGAACAATGAAGAGGTAAAGGTTTGTTGTTCCCTAATAATGACTGCCGTTGCGTTCCTGTCGGATGCTCGATGGACGGCGGCCATCTCTCAACCTTCGGTGAGGCTGATATCCTGCACAACGGCGATGTGTATGGTGCGCGCTAAGTCCATCACATTGAAATACTTGGCCGTGATCGACAGCGAAAGGCCACTGGGTTAAGAGAGAAGGAAACTACAAAGGGAATGAACACTTCAGAAATCTATGTACGTGGTTAGCCCGCTCACAGAGGGTCCACGGGGAAAGACTCCTGGAACGTTGAGTGATCTCGACGGACGGTTGGGTTGTATCGACGAGGTTTTCCGATGCGCAACATCGACTATTGATAGCTGTATTTGCTTGTATGATTTTTTGTCGTGCATCATCAGGCAGTGCATGACAGATGGGCAGTGAGTAGGATAGTGTGCCTTACGATGTAAGTGACAGTAGAAATAAGTCCTACATATGTCGTACAGGGTGGATGGGGTGTAGCCCGTAGTCATAGTACCCAACGCATCACACGCCGCTGGTAAATGTTTTCATATCGCGATCCGACATCGGCGAAAATAGTAGAGTTTATTTTTCTCGCTTGGTTGACTTAAGCTGGCTAGTCATGTCCTGTCCGATGCAACACCAATAACTGCCAATAGTTCGAAAAATAGGTGAAAGAGGCCCTGGAGAGAAATTTTCCGAGCTTCAGCGTGGTGGAGTTCTTCGGCACAGGTTCCGTCCGTGACCAGCTCGAGACCTTCGCAACCGCGGCCATGATCATTGCTCCCCACGGGGCCGGACTTGCCAACATGATGGTCGCGCCCCTGCACACTCCGGTGCTGGAGATAGGGACGTTAGCGTGCCCCCCCTGCTTCTTGAGGCTCGCGTTGAAGGTACGGATTGGCCACAGGGTATGTTGTGCTACATTGAATGAATGGCCGGGAAAAGGGTGGGGAATACTTATCCTCAACTGCTTGTTCCTTCGTGGACTTTTGCGTGCTGCACGAGCAAGTACTAGCATTTCAAATGATGCTTGCGGTCGATGCGCCGGCGATGTTGAGTGCGCTACCGGACGGCAGGGCGTCCGTGCGGTGTACGAGATTTACTGAGTGTATGGCAGAGAGCTCGCAACCTATCCGAAACGGTTTGGTTCATTTCCAAGTAATTGGTTGCTGCATAGGTCTTCATAGTAGTGAAAACACAGTTGCTTCTTTGTCCGACGTTAAACAATAAATCGCTCACCAGTTCGTTGCTTGCGGTGTTGACTGACCACCAAATGCTGATCCAGACCGCCTTGTTTATGCCGCACCGACCGAACAACGTTTCCCGTGACCAACCATAACAAAAAAAAAGCTCCACCACATCTACGCGAGACATCCCGGCGGCGAGTGGTCACAGAAGTGCCATACATGGTTCCACCCAGACGTCGATGAAGTCGTCGAATTAGCAAGGTGAGCGAAGCCTTGCCTATCGCTTTGTCTCGTTCTAGTGGTGTTCGTGTTTGTGTTGATGTGGCAGCAAATTTGTTTGTCACATAAGAATCCTTAGGCGATGGCCGGTAGTGGCTGCAACTTACATCATGCTTCGCGTGTAGCAAGACAACAATTACATTCCACATTGATTCATGTGGTTAAGTCGTGTTTTCCGAGTATTGGGATGGCTGAGTTGGGGTTAGCAGCCGTGCCAAATGCAGCTCTTCGCTGAACAGAGTAAGTGGTCGGAATTATCTGTAGACGAAAATGTACTTCACATGGGTGGCGAGTGGCACGCAGAGGAAACAGCCAGCAAGTGGGGGTTGGTCCGGGGCGAATATCGATGAAAGTTCTACTCTCGGCAAGGTGTCACGATCAGCGGTTCGTGCTCACCTGCATGGGCAATATTTCAAATCTTGTTTCGGCAGAACTCGTCACTGAGAATACACAGTCTGGTCTACCCACATTTGCATGTCAACCCCCCCCCCCCCCCCCGGTATTTGCTATCGGGGTTGGGTTTTCGTCGCTTGGCAACGACGTTGTAAAACAAGCCAATTCACTTCGTGAACTCGGCAACCAGGTTACCGTTTTTTTTTTTT